AATCTTAATATCAGATAAAATGACGAATTAATATAACGTAAATATAACATAAAAATAAAATAAATTTAACATTATCTTCTACAATTATTTCACTTATGTCCTTTTCTTCAAAGATATTACAAATATGTCGAAATTGGGATTATGAATAACAGAGAACCGGGTATCGCACTAGAAAATTGGAAAGGGCAGGGTAACCAGCTCGAGGGTTAAGGGAATTGGGGTTAAGAGTTTGGGGTTACAGCGTGGCAGAGTGACCAGCTCGAGGATTGATGAAATTTGGGTGTAGGAGTTCGGGGTTAGCGCGTGGCAGGGTAACCAGCTGGAGGGTTAAGGAAATTGGGGTGTAAGAGTTACGGGGTTAGAGCGTGGAGGGTGACTAACTCGAGGGTTAAGAAAATTGGGGTTTAGGAGTTCGGGGTTATAGCGTGGCAGGGTAACCAGCTCGAGGGTTGATGAAATTGGGGTGTAGGAGTTCGGGGTTAGAGCGTGGCAGGGTAACCAGCTGGAGGGTTAAGGAAATTGGGGTTAAGAGTTCGGGATTAGAGCGTGGAGGGTAACCAACTCGAGGATTAAGAAAATTGGGGTGTACAGAAAACGGTCAAAACTATAGACAGTTTAAACGACGCTATTGATGAGGTCCTAACGGTTGAACCCTCTAAAAAGAAAGCGCAGCAGCAGAGCAAGAAGCTAGAAAAGAAGGGCAAGAAGCAAAACGGTGAAATTGCCATGGTTACAGCTGATAAGCAAGAGCCACAGACGACGAACCAGCTTGCGAACGGAGCCGCGCTTGCTCGTCAGAGCGCGCAGGCTTCGTGGGCCCCGGCTGCAGGTGTAGCCCCTAGCTTGGTTCCGCAGCAATGCAATCAAGGAGGTAGTATTTCAAATAGGCCATTTACGGGGACCTGTTTCAATTGTAACGCGTTAGGTCATAGGAAGGTTCAATGCCCAATAGCTCAGGTTAATCCGCGAGTAGTTTGTTACAAATACCGACAACCAGGGTATTATGCTAACAACTGCCCGACGCGAATTTCGGAGCCGACGCTTTACTGTCAGGTTTGTGGGACGATCGGCTACGTGTATAGAGATCGCCCTGCTTGCAACCAGGTGAAGTAGGGAAACCTCACCACGGGAGCCATCGACCGCTCGACGACTCCTGCCTAAAATGGATTGAGCGGGCCATTGAGGTAGAGAAAGTGCTTCGCGCAAGGAGCAAAGGCACAGTAGAAGGAAGAAATAGAGTTGAGGCAAAAAGGAAAGGCGAAAACAAGGCAGAAATTGCCAATTCTGCGCCTTCTCTCTTGGATTTCGTAAAAGAGGAAGACGAAAACAAGGCAAGAACTGTCAGTTCTGCGCCTCCTCTCTTAGACGAGTTAATAGGAGAATATTTGAAAGTCAAGGCTAAAGTTAAGCGTGCAGTATTTGTAGAATATGAGGCTCCGAAAAAAGGTAGTAGGGAAATTGTAGAATTTAGAAACGTGTTTCAAGGCGAGTTCAGTACGCTTGATGATAATAGGGTTTTGTTATGTGGACGTTCGATCGTCGGTGCCGATGCACCTTCCGTTTTGGCGAGGGGAGGGTCTGAGTGGAACTCAGAAATCCCGAAAAAAACGGCGGATAAATCGGACGCAACGTTAGTAGCAGTAGTAGAGAACAGGTTCTTTATTAAGGTTAACATAGGCGGGCAACTCTATACTGCGCTGCTAGATTCAGGTGCTCAGGTATCGGTAGTGGAACCGAATCTCGGCTTAAGTTTTAGGGACCGGTTATAGCCGCCTACGATATTCGTACAGGGTATCTCGGGTGAGAAGCCGCAAACGTGGGGTGACTTAAAGCTAAGTTTTGAAATTGATGGTAAGACGAATTGGTTAATTGCGACGGTAGTATCTACACTTAAGCACGACTTGATTTTAGGAGCCGACTTTTGAATACCGTGGGATATAAATATTAGCTACGGTAATCGTGCTTAGCGAGCAGGTGACCAAGGCGATTGATATCCATTAGCAGAACAGAGTAGTAACGAGGTAGTCGTTTTTGCGGAATGTGCAGGTTTAAATAAGTACGAGGAGGCTGAGCGAGAGACAATCCTGGCGTTAGTTCGCCGGATTATCCCGGAGCCTGGTGAATCTCCGGCGTTTCCCCGAGTTATCGAGCACATCATCGATGTAGGTGATGCGCGCCCGGTAAAGACTCCGATGCGTCAAATGTCGCCTCCTATATTAGCGTTCACGCAAGAAGAAACTATGCGGCTATGGAAGGCGAAAATAATTAGGCCATCGAATAGTCAATGGAGTAGCGCACCGATAATCGTACGAAAAAAGGACGGTGGCTTTAGATTTGATTTTGATTAGAATTAGATTTTGATTTGAATGCGATTTTGTGTGTAATTTTTAATTACTTTCACTTCTTTACCTTTTCTCCCCCAGTTCCCCCCTCCTCAATTGCTATGAGCGAGTGCGCCTCACTTGCCCACCTTTAAAATTGATAACGACTGGAGCTTTCGTTATAATTAATAAAATATGTATAATCTTCTTAAAGTAAATAATTTGTCATCGTAAGATTAATTTAAGAATTTTTTATCAGAAAAGTAAATATCAATGAAAATTGTATACTGAAGCATACGATATTCAGTATGAGCTGCTTGTGGAATAAATTTAAACGTGTATAATAAAAAATTTCTGATATTTTCATTTATAATATTTACACGGAATTTAATAATTTATTTTTCAGCTGTACATAAGGAATTCTCTAAGCTTATTTTTTCAATAGCTATCTGTTCAATTGAGTCAAAGCATTTCCTGAAGGTTAGTACAACTATTAGTAATACGATTTTTTATGCGAAGCGCATATTGAATCGAAACGGATAAGCTTAAGGGAAGTTGTAAATGCTAGCTATAACTAATCTGCCTAGTACCAACACTTAGCACTCTGGTTATTTAAGCACTTGCATGGTCGCGTGTGCTCCTTACTTATATTTTTATTTGATTCTTATTTTTATGATTCGTATGTATTGCAACGGTAGTCGATTGCATTAATCGATACGTTCGCGATTCAGTAGCATTCGCGATGCTAGAGCGAACGTCTGAGAGAGAGAGGGCGCGCACGAGAGTCAAAGTTTCAGTTAAGCCTCAGCTGTTGCTTGTGAAAGTACCGCCAAATAGTTTTTTCCACTGTGTTTTGCCGTTTTGCTGATCTAAAGTAGTTTCTGAGATTTTTTGATACCTGCGCGAGTCATCGTAGAGACAATCACAGCAGTAGCAAGCTGATAGCAACATTAAATGCAGCAACAGCATATTGGTAGCGAGGTAAACCGGCGCAGCCTTTGTAGGGAGGAAACCGTTGACTAAGAAGAATTTCTCCAACAATTACGGCTGATCACCGTAATTGCACCGCAGGGTAGGTACACCTCCCTTTTTCTGCGCGACAAAATAATAACGAGAGTATTTTAACTATCGTGACTGTTTTTGTATTCGCGCCGAGCGTTAGTTTTTGCGGTAGAATTCTGAATTCTCTCTCTCTCCCCCTATAATTCCTATTCGCGTGCGTAAATCTTTCGGCCCATCAAAAACTCGTAGTTTTCAAGTCATAATCAATTTTGATTTTATTCGCCGTATTACGTTATTTCTTTTCCTTTAGTTTAACGGATCCGTCACCGATTAAATTTTAAACCGATTTCATCTAGGGGATTAGTTTGAGTAAACATTAGGTCACTCACACCTGTAACGGTGCCGGTGGATTTAACCTGCACCGTGTGTCCCCTATCTCTCCCTACCATCGGCGTGGACTTATGGCAGACCTATAGCACATAATTCACGTGCCTGATGCCTGCCTGTATGTTTTCAGCATCGCCACCGCAACGAGCAAGAAGAAGAAGGATAGAGAGAGGCAGTGGCATTGGTCGACAAGAGCGCCTGTTACTATGCGCTCTTGTAGGAGAGAAAGATAGAGAGTGAGAGAAAGAGAGAGATAAGAGAGAAAGAAAGAAAGCGATTAGTGTAGGCAGGCGCGTGACACTAGCTGCACTTGACGGTGCCGCGTGCCGGCAAGAGAGTGGGGAGAGCGTGAGAAGCAGTCTCTCACGCACTCGGAAGCGTACATGCAGCGGGCAGTAGAAAGTGGCCATTAGCAGAGAGAGGTGTGCTGACCCCCTGCAGTCAACCGCAAAGAAAAGATTAGAGGAAACCGAGACGACATCAGTATCGGCTACAGATCTAGCCTATCTTTCGTCGAGTCTTCCGGCCACGGACAGATTTGCCTGCAGCTAGACGCTAATACCATCTTCGGCGAGGCCCTGCATCGAAGATCTTCAATCGTCAGGTCAATTTCTAATCTCTCTCTCTCTAATTCTCACTCTAAGGCTACTCACGGCTTGTGCGCTGTGACAGGCTCTCACGGGCCGGCACGGCTGGTTCGGTTATTAGCATAAGTTGGATTATATCGAGTCGGTATCGAGATGGCAAGGCGCTAACGTGCCGGCCATCTCTTTTTAGCGATCGTAGATTGTAGTGTAGATAATAAGATGCGCGTTTGAATGTCCGAACTGTATGCTCAGGGTAGCATGGTGTAATAAAGGGATTTATTAAGATATGAGGAATGATTATTGCGCCCACCTTTCTCTTCACCTTGTCAGGAGCAATATACCGCCTCCCTTGCCTTCCCCCTTTTAAATAATTGGTAATAGCGATAGGTGCATCGGCGTTCTAAGCCGACTCTATTACACACCTAAGATAGATCGAGTGTCACAAGTCAGGTGACTTAAGGTGAGTTGTTCAACTCTATTGAAAAAAAGACATCGGAACGAAAGTATCAAATGTAAAGGCGAATACACGTATATACGTGTTTAATGGAGCGGCGGTTAGCTCTGCATCGTGGAAGTTTGTTCTTTAATAAACCCATTTTGTACCAGCTAATCCAACCCCGTTACAATACAAAATGCTACTTTATTAATAAAACGGGAATTAAAATACTCTTTAAATGTTGGCAATAAACATATACTTATGTTACATTATACTTATGTTTGTTAAGATACTTCAAAGCTTCTAATTTGGATATTATTAGAAAAAATTAAAATTTATTTATCAAAAGTGGTGAACAGAATATATAATAGACAAGTTATATGCTATGAAGGACTGATTTTCAGATAACTTAAAACATCTACAAATTCCAAATCTACTCGAGAAGCATTATAAACATCGTGTACTTCCAATAATGGTATTGCATTTAGAGAATGCTTTCCAATGATGATAACATACGGATAACCAAATCTACGGGCATCGATAAAACGTCTTCCAATAGTCATTTGTGTCCTATCATCAATAATGACATCAGTTTTGGACTCTTGTAGATGAAAATATAAATCATATGCTAATTTAGACATTCCTTCTTCTTTACTACCAACCTATAAATATAAAAAAGCAATATTACTACATACATACAATATACATTAATAACTTATATTTTACAATATATTTGCTGGAATGATACAAAAAATCTTAAATCAGCTATAAAATGAACGATTAAAAAGTTTCGTAATGTTTTATTATGTTATGAGTTGACGTATTATACTAAAAAAGTGCAAGTATTTTAAAAAATAAATCCGAAAAGATATTTATTACTTATCCAATTAAAAAAATATATTTAAACCATAAATTGTATTATGGATTAAATATATCTGAATCTTTATTTTTTTCATGTGCGTCTAAAAGTAGTTCTAATGACATGTCTTAATGAAATTATTTAAACCGTAATATTGTTACGGGTTATATATTTTCAAATCATGTAATCAGCATCAGCGGATTATGTTACCAATATTTTAATATGTCATGGTAGCTTGAGCTTTTTCATTCAACAAATATAATTCGAGGCATAACACGAATGCAGTGCTTTCGATGGTCATTTTCGGTAATGGTACGACATACAGACAGTCCAATTTATACTGAATCGCAAAACACTTGCCGAATCTTTCCGTAAGTTTTCAACGAGACCGTCAGAAAAAATCACATCCCTCTCAATCTATGCTACATGCAAGAAATATGAAAATCAAGGATATATATATTCATCACGACGCGCAACGTGCACTCACTTTTGGACTCCTTTTTGAAAAATTCATCTAGAAACCTAAGCTGGATTTCCAGATGGATATCCAGCTAAATATCCAAGTAGAATCCAGGTGGATATTTATTATATTATTTAATATGGTAGTTTTTTTTGTCAAATTATCATTTTTAACACCTCTATAATCTTGTGAAATAATCTAGTGGAAAAAACTAAAGGATAAAAATAATTTCTGTAAATTTCAGTGATTTTTAGTGATTTTTCAAATGGCTGGATCTTGGTTAAAAATGATCATATGACAAATTAAAAAAAAAAAAAAAGCTTGATGTTTTTACTTTTGGGATCATAGAGTTAAAAAAATTTGCATGTCCTTTGCGCAATCCTAAGGAATATCGTGAGAAAAAAATTTTTGGAAATTATTCTGTTTTTGTTTTTGGTCCATGAACGTGGAAAAAATTTTTTTGTCTAAACAATATATATATTATTAAGACTGGATAGCTTGTTCATTCAGCTTTAATTTGAAAGGCTGTAGAGCTTAATATGACCATTTTTCTCGGAGTTTAAATGAAAAAGGATCATTTTGTCTTTTGATCATCGATATCGTATATAAAATTGAAAGTAGGTTTCAAAAAATAAAATAAATTTTTCACAAATATCAGCCATTTTTTTCACATAATAAAATGCTGTTTGTAATGAAAACTTGAGAAAATGAGAAAAAGAATTTTTTTCATTTGTTTTTAAGATTATAGGCATACAAAACCAAAAAAAAGTGATGTTTTAATTTTTCTAAAATTTAATCAAATAAAACAAAGAAACGGCTCGATGGAATTAGTGTAAACTATGGGACATTCTTGTGAGTATATTATACTATAAAAGGCACACTTAACATTATTGGTTTTTGGAATACTGTTAATTTAACGCACGATTTTCCAAAAATCTTCCAAAAGCCTATTTTTCTTATTTTTTCAAATTCATATAAAACAGGACAAATATTTTTTATTGAAAAATAAATTGCCGATCTTCGTAGAGCATTTATTTAAGTTTTTTAAATCTACCTTCAATTTTCTCTGCGATTATTTGTTACTAAGGTATCGATGAATGAAGACAAAACGATCATTTTCCATTCGAACTCAAATATCTCTAAGATAAATTATTGTTATTTAGTCCATATGATCTTTTAGATACAAAAATTTTTTCAACATCCGTGGACCAAAAACAAAAACAAAAAAATTTTTTCTCGCTATAATCATTAGGATATCCCAAAAGACATACATAGGCTAGAAAAATGTTTTACTCAAGGTTCAAAAACTAGAAACTTCGTGCTTCAATTTGCTTTTTTAAATTTTTAATATGATCATTTTCACCAAATATATAGCCATTGTAAAGGGGGGGATAAACTGATGCAACTTGGATTTATTAAAGAACAATCTCCCATGATACAGAGCTAACCGCTGCTCCGTTCAACACGTATAAGTATACATATATTCGCCTTTACGTTTGATACTTTCGTTCCGATGTCTTTTTTTCAACAGAGTTGAACTCACTTTAATTCACCTGACTTGTGACACTTGCTTTCTCTTAGGTGTATGGAGACTAACGTTTCTTTCCATTATTCCCTAGATAAAATCGGTTTAATAATTATCTGGTGACGGATCCGTTAAACTAAAGGGAAACGAAATAACGTAATGCGGCGAATAAAATCAAGACGTTTATAGTAAAAGAGGCTACAGTCTTTATTGGGCCGAAAGATTGCGCACGCGTATACGATTTACAATTATCCGGGTAGAGAGAGAGAGAGAGAATTCGAAATTCTACCACGAAGTCTAACGCTCGGCGCGAATGCGATAACGGTCGCGTATAACTAAATACTTTCGTAAGTATTTTCTCGCGCGGAAAAAGGGAGGTACACCTACCCTACGGTGCAATTACGGTGATCAGCTGTAATTGTTGTTGACAAATAACTATTGCTCCCGGGTGATGCTGCAACGGAGCTGCCTTTCATTCCCAGATCGGTTGCTGCTTTTTCGACTCCTCACTGCTTCTGGCTCAGCTGCTTTTTTCTCGCACCTCGCTATCACTCGCGCACGTACCAAAATCAATAAACTTTTGATCGGCCAACGGCAAAACATAATAGAGTAATTTGGCGGTTTTCCTGCACAACAGCCCAGGCTTAACTGAAAATTAAACTCTCACGCCCCCCCCTTTCTCCCTCTTAATCCTTCGCTCTAGCATCGCGAATGCTGCCGAATCGCGAACGTATCGATTGATCAAATCTACTACCGTTGCACCATTTGAAAAATCACTAAAATTTTTTTTCTTAATTTTTTTGCTGGTGTATTATTATTGATGAAAAAAAAAATTAGTAATCCAAGCGTGGCTTCAACCGTGGACATCTTGCTTTCTAGTCTTACTCTTTATTGTCTAAATTATTATCTCAACTTTGTTTCCATAGTATATTCCACGTACATAACTAATGCTCAGATATATGTTGTGTTCGTAATAATCACTTTTATTCATGTTAGTCCAGGTGGCCATGGTGTCTATGGAAGGGACTACACAATTTCATTTAATGTATTCAATTCAATATATTTATTATAACTGACATGAAGTATTCATATTAATAAAATACGTATGTTAAAGAAAATATCAGTAATTTGATAAAAACGATAGAAATAATTTTTGTATATATTTATAAAATAAGTTATTAGAAAAAATACCTATCTATCCAACAGATTTTGTTTTCAAGATATAATAATTTCTTTGTCGATATCATTTATAATTTTAATGTTGATCATCTGATCGAAACGGAAACATAAAGATTAACCGCAAAACTCGCCGGTTTTTGCACATTTTACAAGCATATAAAAAAAGATTCTACAAATATGTATAAGGTATTTAATTAATCGTCGTAAAAAATTCAAAAAGTCATCGATTTTCTTTTTTTGGAAATATTGAACACCTACCCTTAATTAAGGATTGAAGTTTCATCGCTCGGCAAGATGACGTGGTTAGCGTTGGGCGTATATTTTTTTTATTGCGCCTAACCACTGGCCTTTATATTTTTTAGCCGCCAAAGACTGCCGAACGAGGCCAAGAAAACCCGCGGGAGCGAGAGCACAGTGACTAGGTGCTAGAGAGTGAGACGGAGAGAGAGAGAGAGAGAGAGAGTTGCGAGAGAGATAGAGTACGCGCGTATGCACGCACTATACAGGATTAGTTAGGTGAACGATGCACGACCAATTAGCATTTTTTGTCGCACGCCCCCTAATCAGTGGGCTTGGTATGGAGAGAGCGGCGAGAGCGCGGACGCTGACCACGCGACAATAATTGTGCGGCTAGACACTTTTGACTGATCGCTTTGTAGGCTAATCGAAATAAGCTGACCTGCCGTAGTTCTTGCGCTCGACTGTAATTGTGTGATTTTCCATCTCTTTTGCTGATTGTTAGAGAACGTGGTAACTGTCTACAACACCGTGCACAACTTCCGAGGAAGCAGCCAACAACTGCGAAGAAGCCAGCAGCTAGATCAACTCCCTGCAGCCATCTTCGTCGCCAAAGAAAAGGTCAGATTTTCTCTTTCGCCCGTTGTGTCCTCTCTCTCTCTCTCTCTCTCTCTCTCGTGGTGATGCGCGGCCGCGTGAATCGATAAATAGCCAGGCATTTACTTACCGGCTACATTTATCGTACTGCGGTAATAACGCATCGGTTTTTCTTTTCTTCGTGTAAATATAAGAAAGCGAATTGTCAAGGCGATTTTGTCGCTGGGCAATCCGCTTTCCCGCGTTTTAGGTTTAGTCGTTTATGTGTTTATGCGACATTTTTAAGTCAATTGTAACCGAGTTTATAAATAGAGAAAAGTTTTGTTGTTCGAACTTGTGATCAGTTATTTATTCGACCTGTTTTCTCTGTTTCTGCGATTGTAAGAGCAAAAGAGCCTTTGTTACACTCTCCTTTATTAAAGAATTGGTGACGTCAGTGTCGATCTAGGCATTGCTATGTTACATGGCATCCCTTGTGGAGAAGTAACGATCGGGTTCGGGTTAGAAGAGAGGATTGGACGAACGATAATAATTTTTTTTTCAGAAAAAGAATTGGTTAACTAAGGGCAAAACGCGCGTGCTACGAATTTTCCTTTTTTTGAGAAGGAAATTAGACGGTGTTCTTTTCGTGTTTTTTGTTTTGATCTACCGGTGACCTTTTCTCTCATCGAGGAATCGGGTACTAGCATGTGCGTCGATAAGTCACCTTGAGGCCAGATGCGAACATACGAGGGTGGTCCGATAAGTACTTAGCCTACAAAAGATAAACGAAAATTTTGGAAAAGTGGCGTTTTATTTTTCAACA